CTTTTGCAACAACAACCAGAACAGTAGTGACAGCTCAAGGTTACTTACTTGATCACATCACCTGCCAAAAACCCAAGACATCGTATCACCAAGAAGAATGAAAGCAGATGAATGGAAACTCAATTTTGTTAAACTGTGAATTATGTTCTCTATGATATAGAATCACTTCTGCACAAGGGACCTAAATGTATACATTGCACCCAGTCCAATTTGTAGGCCACAAGATTCAAAAACAATGGCCAGAATGCAATGAATTACATAACTACTTACACATTCACCACAACTTTCTTTGCAGCCCTCTGCTTCTCAAACACCAGTTTCCTCAAGGCACTGCTTTGAGAAAGAAAGGAACTTTGCAACATGGCAATGAAGTCTTCTGTTAGGAAACTAAATCAACCAATCGTGCGCTGCTCTGGTGTCAGTATTCCGTTGCACCAGAAGCGGCTTAGTCATGCTGGCCACATGACCCGGGAAAACTGTCTGTGGAGCGGACAAACGCCGGCTTCCTAGGCCTGTAAAGCGAGATGAGCGCCGCAACCTCAGAGTCATTTGTGACTGGACTTAACTGTCAGGGGTCCCTTTACCTTTTTATGCCTTTAATAGCTCTTTGGATCACAATGCAGTTTCTTTTGCACTGTTGAAAAAACTGTTTGCAAAAAAGTGGCGGAGAGAGCTGTTTACCCCCATCCAGCTAGCACTAATATTCATTTAATTCAGATCTTTGTTTCCTGCCCTTTTGCCAGAGCCCTTGGTAGCTTCTCAAAGGTATTCCACAGTGGTACTAAGCTGTAGATGCTCAGAGGGCATGGCCCAATTTTATGGGATTGCACCTCTCCCATTACTTCCTATGGGGCATGACCCTGTGTGCCACCCTTTTAGATGGCACAATACCCACCCAGTTGCAAGAGTTGTGATCTGGGCAGTGGTTGGAAGGCAAATTGGCTTTTGATGACAGGAGTATTTATGCTGGCATGGACTCATCTCAACTGGGACACAGACACACACACACACACACACACAAACACACATACATACACACACAAATGACCATATCCTACCCCCTCTCCCCTCAGCCTGGTGGATTGGGGATTCAAATTGTACTTTAACTTTATTAGAGTTAGAAAGAGCAGACAAAAAGACAGTAAGCTCCCTGAGAAATGGAGTTCATGAATGTTCATTTGTATTTTATTGGAACAGTAAAGCAGAGCATCAAATTAATCCACATGCTTTACTTTAAGACATACAGTGGCTGCATCATCTGCATGTCTCCAAATAAAGAGTGTGAATAATATGATAATGTTGTCAATTCTGGTATTGTAAGATCTTTTATACATCCGGAAATAAAAAAATTATTGAGTCTTTGAGACAAAAACACACAAAGTATTCTTTATAAAAATAACTATTAAATTGCTTTCATACATTTGTATGTGGTTTGTGGTTTATAAGTATACGTGATTATTTTATCTGTGAATCCATTATATATTTGGAAAATAAAAAGGCCCCTGATTCTGGAAAGACCCAGAAACTGGCACAGGCAACATGGGTGTAGCCAGATATGGAGATTACAAAGGCTCCCTGGACGTTTGACGGTCTATTGATCCCTGTGCCACTACTGTGAATGCCTCTTCGCTGCCACCAACCCGTTTCCCTCGGGTGCACACGGAGTCCAGACAGTTGTTAACGTTAATAAATAATCAAGTTTATTTTTATAAGCATGAACAAGTTTAAGGTTTCAGTTAATTTTTCTTGTCAGTTTCTTAATCTTGGCTCCTTTACTGTCCTATACGTTCCTAACAACTTCAAACTGATTATCCCAACCATCTATCTGACTCCACCTAACAGTTCCTCTCACTCTCTCACAACACAACTCAACCAACCCACAGACTTATCCTCCCTCTTCCTTCCCCAACTCCCAACTCTCAACTGACTTTCACACAACTCCAACTCTCACTCTAACTCCTCCCCTTGGGCTCTCACTGGCCAATCACATCACACTCATTTAACCCTTTCCTTATGACCCAGCTAGGAGGCAAACGCCTCACCAGGATATATGTTGGGGGTGGGGGTGGAGGCAGGAAACTCAACTGTCATCATCCTCTGTCTGGTTCTGCCTAGCAGATTCAGAATGAAATGTCTCAACAACAGTGGTTTTAAATTACTTTCTTTTGACCCCCAAATGCTCAGAAAAATCTGTCAAAATATTTCTACAATTTCCACTTTTAGTTAAGTATTTTTTATTTACTCGATTTAGCTGCCCTCTGTCGTCCCCCCACCACCACCCTGGAGAACCCAGGCCAGGCAAGTCTCTTTGCAGAGGGCATTTCGCATTCAGGATAACATAGTCAAGAAGATACTCTCCCATAGAATCTCAGAGAGAGGGAAGCCCTGTGGGCAAAGGCCTATTTGTAAGATATGTTTCCTTTGTTCTTTCCCATCTAGTAGTTGAGCAATCGTACTTTGGACTAACCACATTTTTTCGAGAAGTCTTCAAAGGTAGCCACATGTACACTGGATTACCATAATTTTAGCTTGGGAATTAGCAGGGCATGGGAAACCATGGTGAGGCGTTTTCTGACCAGGAGGGGGTGCAGTGGGCTCACCAGATTTTGGTGGAAAGTATTACCGTATTTTTCGCTCTATAACACGCACCCGACCATAACACGCACGTAGTTTTTAGAGGAGGAAAATCTGTAGGCATGCCACCCGTAGGCATTCCCTCCATAACACGCACAGACATTTCCCCTTACTTTCTAGGAGGAAAAAAGTGAGTGTTATGGTGCAAAAAATACGGTATATATTCACCATGAATGCCACAATACAGGATCTATCAACACCCCCAGTCTGCAAACCTAATCCTTCAGGGGCAGTACAATTCAATCCAGAATTAGTTGAATGCCACATTCCAGGTTAGATGAAGCAAAAATCAACAGCACCATCTTCCTTTCTGGCCTGTACTGAGCTTCATTTTTTTGACCCTCATCCAGTCCAGTATGGATCCAAGACACTGATTAAGCGCTTTCTTTGTCTCTACCAGAATGATGAAAAAGAGGGATTTTGTGCATGCTTCTAAATCTCTGAATGGCCTCACCCAATGATTTCAGGTTGGTGTTACCGAACCCCAGACTCTGTTTATTTCACAAAACGTATATACCGCTTGATTGCGAAACAAAAAGAAAACAGAACATCTCAGTGCAGTTGGCAAGGCTTTATGGAGTGTGATCAAGTGAGAACCAAACTAGTGGCAAATCATGCCAGCCAGGAAGCTGCCTCCTTATTGGATCTGGGCCTCAGCAGCTGCCAAACCTTATCCAAACTCCAGTTTCAACGATAAGAAACAAAGCGATACTCAGAAAAGAAAACCTTTCCCGCCTGTTGCTTCTGCAGCAGACGTGGTACTTGGAAGCTCTCAAGCCAAATGCTGCTAGCGCAGCCAACAAGCCTGGTGTCTGGAATGTACGTGTATATATAACACCAACTCACAGTGAAACTGGGTGATGTAATTTTGAAGAAGACAGAGCGCCTGGGTGCAATCAATCAATTTACATCAACATACGTAAACAATTTTAAGTGAATTCAACTGGGGAATGGATGCTCATAATTTAAAAATGTGACAACTGTAATGTGTGTATGCATTGTCCCCCGACAACGGGATATTAATAGTGTTTGAGATGTAGTCAATATGTCACAACTAGCTAGAAGACTATTGTCCTATTAATTGTGAGATCAGTGATGCAAAATGTTTACTAATTGGGACAGGCTGGATGTTGAGCTAAATGAGTCCTTAGAGAAGGACTTTCATTACTTAGAATGAGTATAAACAGGAGGGAAGGTGGGAGTCGGGGCAAAAGAATGGTTCGGCACCATGACTGCCTTCTGCTTGAGAAAGCTCCAGTGTATAAGACACCGTAGCGAATGAAATGCTTTGCAGCTAATGTGATTAAGCTGTTCCTTTTGCTTTCGCCTAAGCCCCAAATTCAGGCTCTTTCTAATTAGAGGTGTTACATCTGTAGAACAAGGTTCTTGAGACAGCATTACCTATTAAAATTATCAGTCTACTCTTTTCCCCAGGAGGGCTATTTTCACAAGCAATGCTTAAATTGGTTTCCCCTCCTTCCTTTTGGCATTTTCTGCATCTATAAGGCTAAGTTCACATAAACCTAGGGGACCGTATCAGATACTTCTGAGGGGCTACTTAAGAGTATGAGTCTTCTGTACTGTTCATAAATGATGATGATGATGATGATGATGATGATGATGATATTCATATGCCACCCATCTGACTGGGTTTCCCCAGCCACTCTGGGTAGCTCCCAACAAAATATTAAAAGCAGAGTAAAACATCAACCATTAAAGACTTCCCTGAACAGGGTTGCCTTCAGATGCCTTCTAAAAATTGTGTACTGTAGTTCTTTATCTTCTTGACATCTGATGGGAGGGTATTCCACAGGGCGGGTGCCACTACTGAGAAGGTCCTCTGCCTGGTAGTGAGGGAACCACCAGAAGGCCCACAGAGCTGGACATCAGTGTCCAGGCTGGACAGTGGAGGTGGAGATGCTCCTTCAGGTATAGAGGGCCAAGAATGTTTAGGGATTTAAAGGTCAACACCATCACTTTGAATGGTGCTCAGATACATCATGGGGTCAGCGTAGATCCTTTAAGACTGTGGCACTATATTTTCCCCAAAAGATTCACGACTGTCCAGGTGTCAAATGAACCTGTTCCATAGTTGTTTGTTTGTATGTACATACGTATGTATGTTTAGTTGTAAGTCTGTGAGGGGGTCACCAAATAACTCTCAGCATCCTTTTTTTAAAAAAAGATATATATTTATTGAGAATTTTAAAATTACAAAAAAAACAAAAAGAAAAAGAAGGAAAAAACAAGGAAAGAACAAATAACAATTAAACAATACAAATCAATAAAAATCAAAGTCAAAAAACAAAAACAAAACACATCAAAGTCAAAAAAAGCAAAAATAAGCCAAAAAAAATTAAAAACAGGTCCAGTATTCCTGAATCCTTAACTGTCATTACCTTATTTCATCGACCTCCTCACACCTCCTTTTTTTGTATTCTAGTTGTTAATTATCACAGCAAATCCTTTCCATTTTTCATAATATTCTGTCATTAAATTACCTTAATCTATTTTAACCTTATCTTACCATAAAAAACCCTAAAACTTAAAACTTAAATCTTATTTATACCAATTTCTCATAACCATAGCATATTCTTACATAATTCTTTTTAACATTTTTGTTAAAGCCAAATAATTTCATTCCAACATTTTTCTAATACTCATTAATTTTAGAAAACATTCCTAAGTAAAATTTTTAAAACTTTCTTCCAATCTTCATCCAACGTCTCTTCCTCCTGGTCTCGGGTTTTGTCAGTCCTTTCTATCCCATCCATCTAGTTCATTAACCTGGTAACCTTATGTCCGAGGCCCTTAAGTCTCTTCCATGTCCCTTCCGCAGATCTTCTTCATATTTATACCTGTACTTTACTTTGTCTTCTGCTCCTTTCACTCGTGGAGACTCCAGCTTGACAATATTTTTGTCCCTTCTCGACAGATCAGCCCCTTTTCCATAATCAACACTGAACTCCATGTGGTATTTAATAGCATGTTTCAAAGTCCCTCCAAAGTTGAGGACCCCCACAACTCCAAACTCCTCCCGGCCCAAAGCCAGACTTGAAAAGTCAAAACATCCCTGCATAGGGGGGTCTATCCAGCCCCCCATCTCCAAGCCAAGCAAAACTCTATCTCTCCAAATCTGGCTTTTTCCAGGTTCATTCGTCAGATCCAACAACTCATGTTCCTGCTGGGCCACAGTTCCCTCCATCTCTGCCTCCCGAGGTCCAGCCACAACCGCCTCCTTCATCTGATCTGTCAGAGCACTCTCCTGGATTAATTCCTGAGTGGGTTCTATATAGATACCCACTACCTGTCCAAAATTTCCAATCGCAGCAGTCATCAAATCCTTCTTCTCATGTAACTGTTCCAATAAAGCACTTGTCTTGCAGAAAGCACGCACCAGAGCCTCCGAGTACATTCTTGTGCAAGGTCAAAGCCTGATCCCACGATCTTAATCTATTGCAGCTGCAAAGCTCCCCAGTTCAGATTTAATAACAGTTTCACAAGCTCCCTCTAGGGGAAAAGCTTCTATTTGTATCCATCTCTTTTTTTTATTTTTTTATAGCAGATCTAACAACAAAGTTTCCTTTTTCAGATATTCTGTCAATATTTTGTTCCTTTTAGATGCGAAGGGGAACAATGGAGTCACTATGTTCTTTTAACTGTCTGTCAAAAACGTTTGTCTATAGTCAATGAACTTCCCAAGGACGTCTGTCCTGACACCCCACTCCCAGGTTCAAGACGGTGGAAAATTACTTTTCTTTACACTCTCTTCTGCAGGTTTAAACAGTCCAGGAAAAAAAAAAATCCCCCCTCTTCTCCTGCTTCCAAGGGGGGTTCAGTAATTTTATATGATGAGAATTGATCCTTTACAGACGATTTTCTTAACTCTAGCTTGCCGTGTCTTTGCTTTAATCTATCTACAAAAAGCGGAAGGCTGACTTCCTGTTTAGACCTTCCCGCTTCAGTGCCAAATTAGAAGAAATTTCTTAATCCAATTTTCCGTTCTACTCACGGGTCGTTGTTTAGAGTCCAATTGTCCACAGGAAAAAGTCAGCGCTCTCCGGCAACAGCCATGCGGCTTCACTCCGTGAAAGAAGCAGTCGATTCAAGGCACCGCGCCGCTCACCCCATGTCGCTCCAGATCCCCGAAACCGGGTCTCCCCGCGAGTAGGGGGGCGCAAAGGTGCCAGCCGAATCCCACGTCCACAGGCTTCTCCCACCTGTGGTTTTTAATGGGTCTCCGCCTCGCCGTGGCGGTTCAGACCCTTTTTTCCATGGAGCGGATTCCTCCCGATCGGAGGAAATCCGCCATTGCCAGAGACGCCAACCCGGAAGTCCCATAACTCTCAGCATCCTTAACAAACTACATCTCCCAGGATTCTTTGAGGGAAGCCATGGCCTAAGAGAGCTCTAAAGGTATGGTATATGGGTATGACGTCTTCTTGAGCTCACCTCCGGGTCACGAGCCAATTCAGTGTGGTAGAGCCCCCTTGTGGCACTGACTGTACCACCTCAGCTTTCACAGGGTAAACTGCCCATTTGAATGGATGCTCTGTGGGAAAAGGCACAGAAAACCACTTTCTGAGACTCTTTCAAAAGCCTAGAAGCCACCCTGTTCAAAGAGGTGGGGGGGTCCCATTTGACACATGCAGGGCCTATAAGCACACCTGAAGTAAGGGACAGCATGTCTCATTGTACCTCTTAAGGCAAAACGGGAATGTGACCCCCCCGCCCCCCCCTTTGCTGCTACTTCTTTGTACCCCTCCTACCTGCTTTGCACTGGCAGTGGTTCCCACTTCTGTTGAAATCTTGCAAGATTTTGGTAAGAGCTTGCTGTAATCCACTACTGCTGGTGACAGCGGTGAAGCATATGCCTGCACTGCCCAGGGTGGGCACGCTCCCAAGGGGGGCAGTGGGTGCTCCTGAAGGGGCTCCCAGGCGTGGGATAGCTGCTCAGGTGCACGTGTGCCCTGTAGCCAGGGGCGGAGTTAGCTGCCCACAGGGGCGGAGCGAGCTGCCAATGGCGGACATTTGGTGTGCCGCCCATCTGCGACTCCCAAGCCTCCCCCAAGCTGTCAAAATGAAGGGGGAAGGTGGGGATGCTGCCGGCAAAACAGCACAGCTCCCCCTTCCCCTGATGGCTTGGGGTAGGCTTGGGTGTCGCGGGCGGGCGGCGTGCCAAATGTCACCCCCTCAGCGAAGACACCCGGGGCGATCCATCCCCACCACACCCCCTTCCTCCGCCCCGGCTGGTGATGGTGCTTCTCCGCTGCTGGCAGAGGCAATGGGGTGGGTGATGGATGCCTCCTCTTGGGCTTCTGCTGCTTGAGGCGCTTCACTTTGCTTCATCAGTGGGCTGTGTCTGCCTGATGTAGCTTTCTGGGTTGTGGCCTTTGCTGTTGAAGATTTGAAGCCCATGTCCACAGGGTGAAGAAGATAGGAAAAAGAGACTGCTACTGACCAATGCAGTTAAACTGTTATAGTTTCCTCACAGATAGTCCATTTGTGATGGCCTGGGATTCGGACTTGGAGGCTGAACCTGAGGAATCCCAGCCTGTACAGGAGTCCCCGCCTCCAGAACCAGCTGAGCCAGGGCTGGGGCTTGAACCTGAAGGGTCCTCACCTGTGCTGGATCCTCAGGTGCAGGCACCAGCTGAGTCTGCTCTGGCTCCTGAGGTGAAGGAGGACCCATTGCCTGCAGGTGCTCCACTCTCAGCCCCGTCAGGGAAAGCTGAGGTTGCCTCTGGGTCCGGTAACCCTCCAGCCTCTCCTGAGCTGCAGAGGCTCAGGACAGAGAGGGGGAGGGAACTAAGTTATCGCAGTAGGAGTGCTCGTCTCCAGGCCAGGAGAGGCGAGTCACCTGTGGACTGGGGCCGCCCTATGCTTCGGGGCAGATAAAAGCCAGCCAGCCCAGTCCCAGGTTGTGGGAGTCCTGCTCTTCTGCCAGAGTTTCTGACCTCACCCGACTCCCTGCCTTAGACCCAGCTTCAGCTTTGATGGACAGCCTCCATATCGCACCCTCAACCTTGGACTGGACTCGGACCTTGCCGCATGGTTAACCCTCGGGACCAGCACACCATTGGTGTTCCACTTTCCCTCTTGCCACACCTCACCAACCGACTCCCTTCAGCCAACTGCCACTGCTCCAAACAGGAACCTTGGTATTTGAATCAGCCAATCAGGGCACAGCCATAGTATTCTACCCCTTGGAAGTCATATTTGCTATGGTGTGCTTATTAATGCAATGGGACATCGACTGCCTTGTGTGAGCGTTAGGAGAAGGAGGCCGGCAAAGACACCATCTATGAACTTGCTCTCAGATCAGCTGGGAGTTGCTTCTTTCAGTGTCCAGTCTTCCATGCCCAGTGAAGAGGAATTTATTGTTCTCCAGGCATTTAATAATCCTGCTCTATTCAACCTTGGACAGACCACACCTGGAGTACTGGGTGCCACACTTTAAGAAGGATGTTGACAAGGTGGAGCATGTGCAGAGGAGGGCAGCCAAGATGATAAAGGGTGTGGAAACCAAGCCTTATGGGGAACAGTTGAGGGGATTGAGTATATTTAGCCTGGTAAGGAGGAGACTGAGAGGAGATACAACAGCCATCTTCAAATATTTAAAGGGTTGTCAGCAAGCTTGTTTTCTCCTGCTCCAGAGGCTAGGACCTGAACCAATGGCTTCAAGTTACAAGAAAGAAGATTCTGACTAAACCTCAGGAAGAACTTTCTGGCAGTGGAACAAATTCCCATGAAAGGTAGTGGAATCTCCTTCCTTGTAGGCTTTTAAACAAAGGTTGCATGACCACCAGTCATGCATTATGTAGTTGAGATTCCAGCGTGTCTGAAGTGTGAATTCGACAGCCTCCAGTTCAGAATCCTGACTTGCCTCAGGCACAAAATCATCAGGTGGCTATGGGCAAGCCACCATCTCTCAACTTCAGATCTGCAATAAGACTATGATACTGCTGTTATTGAGCCAAATGCATGTGAAAAGCTTCTGAACACTCAAAAAGTGCTATATAACTTTTAAACATTGCTGATGGATATTCACCAAAGGCCAAAAGGTTTATAGAAGTAACACTAGACTTTTGTCTTTAAAACACAGGGAGGGATGACAGTTATTGATCATTAATGAATAAAGTATAGCTGAAGATTTATTAGGTCATTACTCACCCAGGTGTTAGGAATAAGGCTGAAGTCTGACTGAATGGATATAAATGTTGACAATTCTTTGCTGGCATACAAATTTTATGGACCAGCAAGGTGCAATGGGCAAATTACTGGGTTTCACTGTGAAACTCCTGCATTTAAATAGCTGCTTGTCCCTGGTATGAGCTGGTAGACCAAGTCAAATCATTATCTAATCCACCCACTCAAAGGCTAACATCAGCTTGCTTTATGATGTCATAACTGCTAGTTACACCATAGCAACCACTTTTTAACCCAGGGAGTGAGGAGCCTTCACAGATGTGACAAAGCACACAGAGTTCACCGAACCATCACTAGAAATTTAATTACCTTCTTTTGATAACTGGAGTTTCATATTCTTACCTACTAGACATTTTAAAAGTTTGCCTGAAGTCCTGCAATATAAAATTTCATACCCACTCAACTACCTCAAATAAATGAGCACAAAGGATGGCTTGTCTGCCAAGAAAAGTTCATAAAATCTTGTTCCTGGGAGAGAATGTTACCCTATAACATCATTAAAACATTTTGAAGTTAGGGGCTGTGATACATGATTCTGAAATGTCTTAATTCCCCCTCCCCCCCAAAAAAGAATGCACTGATGTAGTTGCTTCCCTGGGCTCCTTTAGGAGGAAGGGATATAAACTAAATACAGTGGTACCTCGGTTTAAGAACAGCCCTGTTTATGAACTACTCGGTTTACGAATTCCACAAAACCGGAAGTAGTGTCCCGGTTTGCAAACTTTACCTTGGTCTAAGAACGGAATCCGAATGGTGGAAGGGCACCAGCGGCAGGGGGCCTCATTAGGGAAAGCGCGCCTCGGTTTAAGAACCGTTTTGGTTTAAGAACGGACTTCCAGAATGGATTAAGTTCATAAACTGAGGCACCACTGTAAATGAAACAAAATGAAATGAAATGGTCTAGTGACACCTTGTTTTTGGACAGCTGACCCTATTACACAGGTCTTTTTCATTAATATTGTAAGCTACTCATTCAGCTCATGAGCTAAGCATATATTTCATATTATTCCTTTTGAAGATTCCTAACCAGCATATTGGATGAATTACCTTCAAAAACTACAAGAAAACAACAACAAAGCCATCAAACTACACGAAAACAATACACTGTCCTCAGTCCTGTCACTTACAGAGGGAACCAGAGTGTGCCTTTTTTCACCTCTGTGGGCAGAGCTGAGCATTCTTTCTAGCAAGTTCAGAAAGGAGCTATGTTACAAACCTGTGTGACACATCTTTGAAATATTTGCTGATACCTTCTGATAAATATCAGGCATTCTCTCTCCATCAAACATTTTCTGATGTACAAAAACATCGCAGAAAAGCAAAGATGATCCTGGAGTCTGTCTTGCAGTTCAACATTTGTACACTGCACCACTGATGGTTGCTTTGTCACTGAAGGCCCATTCTTTGAAGTGGGGAGGGGAAGCATCGCTTTTACTTGCTGGACCTTGAGGAACAACTTTCAGATAATAAATGGATGAAAAGCAGGCTGAAACAGATTGCTCCCAAGCATTTGACTTGTTGAATCTTAAGCATCAATTACTCACATTGGCAGAAGCCTCACAATTCATCACAGCTCAAGCAGCATCCTCCTTGAACTTCCACCGAAGCTCATACATAACAGCAGAGGGAGAAATGGTTTTGCTGTGTGCATGCTTTCTCCACTAACATAGCAGTTTCAGAGGCAAGTTTTTGATGATGATCACAGTGTGTTTCTTTTCCCATTAGTGCTCTCAGAGTATTGCCTTGAAGTTACAGCACCAGTTTGTTTTAAAAGCAGTGTGTATTCACTAAAGTTGTTGCTCTTAGCTTCCATATTGTAAGTTCATTCCATGGCAGAAAGCTCCACTGGTGTCAATGGGACTTATTTCTACAGAATCAGCCTACGCCAGAGATTTCCTTTGCTACAGTGATTTTCCTGTTAGCTTTCATGGAGCATACAAATCTGTCTCTGAGACTGAAGTCAATGAGAAAGACTGATTATGCTCAGTATGTGTAAAAACAACAACAACCAAACTCCACAAAATTGGACCAACTGCTTCAAAGAGGCACTTCCTAATGCTGAATTATGGTACCTGATGAAACTTAATCCCTCTCTCTCTATATATATATTTCATCTCCTCTGCGCTTGCACAGGTTACTATTGAGAAAGCGGTAAATATAACTAAATCTGAATCCAGACCAAGGTCATGTCATCCATTGCATGAGGATAAGCATGAATACAACAAGCATGTCCTTGCAACACCTGAATTATATGGGTAGATTCATCATGACACCATAATGGTAAATCTTGGGTTCCTTCTGTTTTCATGTGTGAAGTAACTATCAGTGAGTGAGGCATTGGGGGTTGGGGGTGTGAACCTACATGTTCAGCTGAACTGCAGATTTATAAAAATGTCTAGGTGGCACTGCAAACCAGGAAACAATCAGAGAAAATAAACAAACCAGTATTTAAAGGGGCGTTAGTTCTAGAGGACTTTTTTTTTTAAAGAAGCAACACTGCATTTGCTAAAATATGCTACTTCCTCAGCTATTCATTGCAAAAGTCCCAGAAGTTCACAGCATAATGCAAGAACAAATATAATCTTATATACTTTGCTTAAGGCAAAGGATGATAAATGGTCCTAGCAAAGCACTTCTTTGTAGCATTAAAAAAAAAATACTACAGAGATTAAAATTCTGGAAGAATCACAGAAGTTGGCAAAAAGGGAAGCTTAATGAACTACTGCACTTGTGGCAGACTGTTCAGTGCTTCCTTCTTTAAAAAAAGCACAAAAAGGAGGCTATAACTGAAAATAACAATGTTTGCTTGGAAGCAAATAAAATGTGAGCGTACTTGTTGATTAATTGTGGCGGGGGGGCGAGATCAGCATAAGCTTTTACATAAAGCAGAAGATGTTCAAGAAGCAATGAGTCACTGAGCGCTCAACTTTGGGTCCCCTTATTCCAGGTACCTTATCTAAACAGCATATTTAAACTGGTTTAACACTTTCTTCTTCAAATAAAACCTTGAGAATTGTAGCTCTGTTGAGAGAGGGTGAAGATCCAACAGCCTTCGCTGCACACAGTTTGTAGGTTTCTTTGTGGGGGTCCTGATATATGGCTTTGTGCCCCAAAAGGAGTCTCAAAGTGATTTACATGACAATAAAACACAGAAAAATGCAATATACAATACAAAATCCATTAAAGCAATACATATATACTAAACGTGTTTGTCTGAAAACAACAGCAACAACAACCCAACATGACAATGTAAAATATCCATTGACATCCAACAAAAGAATGGACACCAAAAAGCCAGAGCATTAGTGCTGTCCAAATATCAACGAAAATAAAACATCTGTGCCTGGTACCAAAAATATGATGAAGTTGGAACCAGCTGATCTGCCCTGGGCTAAGCATTCTACAAGGACAGGGTGGAGCGCTACCATAGAAAAGGTCGGTTCTCTCATTGCCACCCCCTGAACATATCTTGAAAGGGGCACACAGGGAAGGGCCTGATATGTTGATCTCAGGGTCCGTGCTGATTTCAGGGTCCAGAAATGGGTTCGTATGGGGAAAGGTGGTCCTTGAGCTATTGGGATTCCAAGATGTGCTGCAAGGCATTATAGGTCAAAACCAGTTTTTTGAACTGGGCTCAGAAACCAATTGACCACCAGCACAAGTGGGCCAAGAACTGGAGTTATATGTTCAGACCACCTGATCCTGGATAATACTCTGCCCACCACATTCTTCACTTATTGCTGTTTGGGAAGTCTTCAGGGGCAGCCCAAAATACAATGCATTGCAGTAATCTAACCAATAGGTTACTGGAGCACAGATCTCTCAAGTCAGGCTACCCCCATGCAGATAGGATGACAGCTGGGCCACCAGCTGAAGCTGGTAGAAGGCACTCCATGCAACAGTAGTCACATGTTCCTTTGATGACAAATCCACAGCACCCCTCAGCTGTGCCCCTACCCCTTCAGGGGAAGAGTGACCCAATCTATAACAAGCCGCACTTAACCCATGCAGACTGGGGAACCAGCTATTAACAGTGTCTCTTTTTTAGCTGGACACAGCTTCAGTTTGTTAGTCCTCATCAGGTCCACTGCCAAGGCCAGGCACCAGTTTAGCAAATCCACCACCACACCTTGCAAATGAAGAAGAAATAGAGCTGTGTGTCATCAGCATACTGAAGAACTGAAAGTGATGAATGCAGTGAAAGGAATCAGTACAAAGTTTAATGACCAAATTTGTTTCAACCACAAGGTCTTTTTCAGTGAGTTCAAGTAAATACCACTTGTCTCCAGTGCGCTCTTCTCCAGAGGAAGCCATAACTGAGGAATGACTGCCCCTAGATGCTTTCATCACTTTAAGGAAGTAGAGAGCATCTGACAATATAATATTGATCCAGGATTCCTCCTGAAATTCCCACTGAGGACTTCTTCACATTCAGGGGTGAAGTCTTTCGCTGAATGCTTCATGTTATTGCCAAAGCAAGATGAACTGAGAACGCTCCCTTCTTAGGCTTTCCAAATGCCTTTATGGCTATTAAGATTGTGCATCACACTGCCTATTAACCTCAGCGAAGATCAGGCCAGTAAGGAATTTCCATCTCAGCTGCAGAGGTTCTGCTGACCTCACTGCAAGCTTTGAGGTGACAAGATAGTAAGTAGCAGCATGCAGAGCAAAGAAAAGGAATGACCCATCTGTGCAGCCAGAGTCTTGTTCTGTTCCATCATTCCAGATTACCCGTCAAATTATGCCAGAGCTTTAGACACACTGGCTACCAACCAGCACAGCAGTGACTGGTCCTCAGCAGGATTTTACAGCTGACATCTTCCTCAGAGGCTTCTGCACCCAACTCCCAAGACACTTTTATTAAAACTAGGGAGTTGTTGTTGGTGGTGGTTTTTTTTAAAAAAACAGTTTTAGGATCTGCAAGGTGAATCTCCAAACTGTGGTTTTTCACAAATCATGTTCTGTTCATAGATCTTGAGAAATAAGCAGGAAAAGGGTAGGTCAAAACCACCAAGACATCCTCCAGTGACCTCTTTAGAGAAGATGTGTTCAGTGTTAGAAACTCAGCAATATAAGCTAGGCGTCAAATGGCTCCTTTAACCAGGGTGATGGTTGCCAAAACTGAATGCCTAGTTGCCATTTTGGGGCAACTTTACGAATGTGGCAGCAATACGACTTTTTGGTTCCTGAAATTTATTCTGATTGTGCAGATAAAATACAACAGGATGTGTTGCTAGTGTGTGAAAATGGTCAAGATCCAAGGATTCCCAGGCATACACCTTCAGATGGTGGAGGGGAGATGGTGAGGGGAGAGACTCCATCAGACAAGGCTTCCTTCCACCTGCTTCGTCCCACCCTCTGACCCTACGAGACCTCATAAGGGAGCTGGTCCTGGAGGAAGAACTGTGAGGGGAGAGACTTCATCAGGCAAGGCCTCCTTCCACCTGCCTTGCTCCACCCTCTAGTCCAGGGGTCAGCAACCTTTTTCAGCCGTGGGCCGGTCCACAGTCCCTCAGACCTTGTGGTGGGCCGGACTATATTTTTTTGGGGGAGGGGATGAACGAATTCCTATGCCCCACAAATAACCCAGAGATGCATTTTAAATAAAAGGGCACATACTACTTATGTAAAACACACTGATTTCTGGACTGTCCACGGGCCGGATTGAGAAGGCGATTGGGCTGCATCCGGCCCCCAGGCCTTAGGTTGCCTACCCCTGCTCTAGTCTCTGCTTCTCAATTTGTATTGCATTATTTTATGTACTGTGGCTTGCTGTTGTTTTATTGATTATAGTTTAGAAATTATTTATTGTAACTTTGAGTGGATTTCTGTTTAACTTTTATATGTTGTTATTATTATTTAATACTATTCTAATGATTGCTGAATGTTACTTTTTTGATGTAGGTTGTCTATTTTAAAGTTATATTTTATTATCACATTTTTGTATTGCATTAGATTGTTATAAGATGTACATTTTTTGTTTCTTCAGCTGGTAAACCGCTTTGAGTATTGTAAGATAAAAAGATGGTATACAAATTAAAAATGATGATGATGATGGAGATATCAGGCGTCATCCTGGCGCTCTGACATCTTCACATGGTCACAAGTGACCAATAGCCAGTTACAAAATGTGCCTGGTGCCTGGCAAATTTCAAACACTAGGCGTTTGGAACCTCAGGCCCAGGGGTTTAATGTGGCCCTCAGGGCTTCTCTATCTGGCCTTGGGGCTCTCCCTAGACACTTCTCCTCAGGGCACAGCTATGGTTTTCTTTGCTTGGCTGGAATGTGTGCTCTGATCATGCCTCTTGCTTACCTGGATAGAGGAAACAGAAGCATGTGTGCAGAAGCTGACCTACTCTTCAAAACTAAAATTTGCATTTGTTGCTCCACCCACTTTTGCCTCTGGTCCCACCCACCACTGGCACATGCCCCCCAGAAAGTTGCCCATAAGGGGATGTGGCCCTCAGCCAGAAAAGGGTTCCCTGTCCCGGTTCTATGCAGACTGACAGTTGCTCTCCAGGCTCTGAGCAAGAGAATCTTTCACATCATGCACTGGCCTGGCTTCTCAGTGTGAACAGTTCATCCCTTGGGGGAAGAATGAACTGCTTTCGGACTACCTGTCCCAGCTTCACTGCCCATCTGCTTTCCAGCATGTGCTCAAATCCTTGCCTGCCTGGAGTTTCTGGACCACCGACCTGGACAGTCTTCTTGGGCATCAAGCCCAGTTACAGGCAGGCCAATGACACAGACATTGTGGAGGTTTTGTCTCATTTGCAGAGCTTATGTTGACCTCCTTGCTGACTTCACAATGGCAGGTCACAGCTGACAAGACAAATACAAGAAAGCATCATACCCTGAAGCATGAAGACCTCATTCATCAAGCTCAGCTGCAGTGTGCTAAAGAAAGCAAACCCCGCACAGATTCCAATGAGAGGATCACCATTCGTTTCAATGTCAGCTATACCCTGGATTGATATTTTTCCCACAGGGAAGGTGTGGGGAGAGGGAATCCTATATCTACCATACCATTCAAAGTATACGTATCTGTGTCGATATATACAAAATGCCAATTGACAGGGGGGTTTGGGGGTTTTTTAAAGCATCCATATGATTTCAGTGTGGTTTACTAAACTTTGAACAAATTGAAAACAGATAAAAGTGTAATAAAGTCTCAGAGTGTTAAAAACATTTATGATAATATTAAAAGGTGCTTTAAAATGCCTGGGTGAATTTTAAAAGTGGGGTGTTGCTGATAGCTACAAGATAGTGAAGGTGATTATTTGGGGAAGGGCTAGAGATGTGAAGGCATAGGGGGGGGAATGAATTGGGGGGTCACTGTCATCCCCCCCCCCAATTTTCTGTTGTTGGTTTTCCTTACTTCTCTATGAAGGGCAGCGCCCAATGACCACAGCATGCAGACAGGTTGATAGTGCTCCATCAAGTACTTTGCTCCCAAGATGCTTTTAGAGACTTAAAAGTATGCACCAGCAGTTCAAATTGGGTCCAGAAGCATTTCCGAATTGCTCTCAGAAGCAGTCTCTATATATAATAATGCAGCAATCAGGATAGGATCTCAACAAAGCTTTCTGGTAACATGGTCCCAAGCTATTTACATGTTAAAACCAGTATTTTAAATTGGAAATGCAGTGGAAGCCAGTTGAGCTGACAAAACACAGGTGAAATATGGTCAAACCACTAAGTTTATTTAGTGAATCAGAAGCAGATTTGAACCAAATACTCCCTAAATTGGCCCTGAGTTGTCTGTTGCACTACACCAGTTCGTAAGCGCTGCAAGAATTTTTTCTTGACACCTCTTCTTCCCCTATGAAGCCTGAAAATTCATATGAACCATCACCTTCTAAATCCAACACAAGTGCTTTGTCCCAAGCTTCCCATCTTCCCATGGCCCAATTCAATTCCACCTGCCTCCCCTTATTCCTTTTAATATCCCTGACCTGTAAGACTTTTACTTTTACTTCTCTAAAACTAACCCAAGCCTAGTCATGTTTACTTGGAAGTAGGATCCTGGATTTCAAAGGGACTTATTTTCATGTAAGTGTGCTTAGGACAGCAGCCTAAGTCAACCAAAGTTTGTACATCATGAATCTTGGTTGGTCTTCATAAAGGTACTGTTTTACTCTCACTGTTTAAATTTTGGCTGCAGTTGTTATCTTTTCTTACTAGACATTTCTATTAACAGGGCTTTAGCTCAGGGGGAAAAACACCCACAAAGAAAATTCAACTGACTAATTCAAAGCTCCAGTTTGGAATGTATTTCAGGCTATTTATGACAGCAGCCTGTTTTTAAAAGTGCCTGTTATTTTGCATCAGAGTTTGTCATGCTTCTTACAGCCATTATGAAAAGCCTTTCAAACCCTCCTCTTCTTAATTACCACAAAGAACTTGGATGCATTTCCTCGCTCTGATCTGCTAATTTAAACCTCATCCATGGAAATGAGCAACAATGGACTCAAGGAAATTATATTCAACAATTGAAATCAACAAGTTAAGCAACTGAAACGGATGCCAGCTTCTCCTTGGTCAGCTAACTAGGATCAAAGAGTGAGTAGATCAATTGTAAGGTCATTAAAGGACAAGAGAAAACACAATGGATATTGATGTCAGAGAAAACAAGTCTAATTGGCCACACCTCCATTGCTGATCAAGTGAGAAAAGACCCACCTCATGCCCTTGGACACGGAGGTCAGCTGATATATGAGTTCTACATGCCTGATTAACTACTTGCTTGCCTAGCAGGTTTCAGATGACTAGCACTTCATAATTGATCCCAGCGGGACCACTGGGTTCATTTAATCCAAGACAATTATTGAATATTTGAATGTGGTATTCACTTGTCGTTTCTGGCTTACAGACCATACATGATGCACAGTGGCATGATTTTAGATCTTTGTAGAAAGGGAGGCAAAGAGATCAGAGAAAGATGGGTGACAGTTAACAGGGATTTTTTAAAAAATAGTCCTCTCTAGATGTTCCCCCTCATGTGCTCCCTACTTCATTGGTAGTGGGGGAGCAGGAAAGTGCTAATTTTCCCTGCCCCCCTCTGCCACTTTCCCAGTGGCCTCCCTGCCCACCTGCATGGGGCTGAACACCTGTAGCAGAGAGTCATCTCCACACAAGGAAGTTCCTGCACTATTTAGAACCCTGATTGTACATGGTCTAAGTCTACAGACCATGTCCCAGGTTTTGGTCTGAAGGCACATGTGATCTGGCTGAAGCTAAGCAGGTCCGGGACTCTGGACCATTCTCTGAATGGTGAACTGCCAAGTATGTGTGCCACAAGTATATCACCTTGGGTTCCATGAAAGAAAAAAGGCAGGGTATAAATGAAAGGGTATAAATGAGTAGATAAAATGCAGAAGTCCATTCCCAACTTGTGCAGCAGGGAGAGCAGGGCCAGTGAGTGAGCTCATTCTTGCTCTCCACAGTCCTCACTCTGCAGGGCAATTACACAAGGCCTGAATGCCTAGAGAGAGCTTATGTCATCAATAGTTCAAAATGAATTTCAGCAGCAAAAAAACAGGTTTTGCCCTATATGCTACCTAGAAGGTGGCACAGCCTTTCTTTCAAAGGTAACACTTCCTGAACTTCACTGATAACAAGCATTACCATGAAAGTCATGGACTCCTAAGCTTCTGTGAAGAGCAACATTCTTGTTCTTTACCCCAGGTTGGCAGTGGAGGGGGAGATTAGCCTGTGGGCGCTTGTATAGGACAGACAGAAGTGCCTGTCTTGGAATGAATGGCCTGGCTGTGTGGCAATGGCTTGGCATAGAGGCAGCCCACTGCTGGGTGACAAGCTTTCCAGCACCTAAAAAGTGGGTCTCTGTGTATGTGTCGGCCAGACTCAAGACTCAAGAACCATCCCTGATAAATAGGGGTCATCACTAGAGCAGATGGAACCAGCAATAGGGACAAAATATGCAATCCTGCAGGGCTGGCCCTACCATTAAAGAGAGTGAGGCAGTGTCCTCAGGCTGCTGAATTTGGGGTGTTGTGAAAAAGCAGAAAATTGTTAATTGATTGCCATGGTCTTTATACATACAAAATCTGATGACGTTTAGCATAAATGAATCTCTTCTCAATGCGAGCAACTGAGGCTGAATTTCAGAGGCTCGAATCAGCAGTTGTTATAACTATAAAACCAGCACTATTTAGAGGTATCTTCATTGATCCCAGTTTCAACTTTGTATAAGTGTATGTAGTGGGGGTGGTAATTGAACATATTTTAAATTATCTCATTAACCTCCTGATTACATAGAGAAGGGGAGAAGGCTTTGAACATTATGTTGTTTTAGCCAAATTGGTGACGTAAAAGGAATCAGAGAATCACAAATGCAGCAAATTAGGGAAAACTCTAAACATCTATATCCTCTCCTATTGCAACAGACAAAGAAGAGATTGAATTGATGGAGACTGTGAAATACAATTTACTGGTTAATTTATCAGGTCATGTTTGCTTTGTGGCACAAAGTTCCATCAGAGGAGCTGTTTTGCCTGACATTGGAACCTCACTACTCAGTAGCATTGATTTAAATGGTGTGTCTCTGGCATAATTTGTAATGTCTACCAAAAAAAAGAGGTCTGAACAGAGATGGAAAGATTTCTTTGCGATGGGCTTTGTAACACAGGGGAGGACCTATCAATTTAGTTATATAATGTTATTTTCTTTTTGTTCAGTATCCTATGGACCTGTAGTTAATATGACAATAACGGGGACTGTATGCAAAATAATAATAAAAAGCACTTCCAGAATTTCTGCACAGTGTGGGGCTGGGATCATGCCATTCTGTTACCATTTGTTTGCAAATTTTACGTTTTGATAAGTGCCCCAAGATGTACACTCACACTGTGCAGCCTGTACAGTACACCACAATGCAGTTGGGCAGAATTTAGCCTTATAGGATCTACTAAAAAGACAAAACAAACCAACAGGAACCTTGTGGTCTACTAACCAGAGCCAGGTGCAAAACAGTGCTTAGGAGGGAGGATGTTAGCTAAGAATTAAGAGCTATGTGCCTATTACCCCAGCTCCAGTGCACTCCCAGCAATGGCGGCTGAAGCCAAGTACACATGTTGTTAGCCATCTGTATCCTGCAGTTTCTTGAGAGATAATGCTGGTTTAATGTGCTTTCCCTCAGACCAGCTTCCATCTGATTCCATAACGCAGACCGCCGTTAAGCTAAGGTGTGTAAATTTTAAGCATCCCTTGTGCTTGCACAGATGAGGGCTTCGTTGAACAGGTGTTCAGAGAGCTGCAGACAAGGGGAAGCAAATCAGGTAATGGTGTGTACAGCAACATAAAATGCAATGTGAACTGCAGGAGGAGGAAATGACCTCACGTTCTACAGCCCCTTGGTCAGGATGCTTCAGGCCACAGGACAAAATATTCTCACCAACTTTTCTTTGTCTCAGCAGCCTAATTTAGGGTGGTGGTGGGAAGCTTTTTAACTGTTCTTATTTTTTATGGTTTTAAAACAAATACAGTAACCATGAAACACTTATCCAGCAGTATATCTAATGGTGTTTGTTTCATCCATTTACACATTCCACATTCAAACATATTACTTAACGTAATTCTCCACTGAGAATACTAAGCGGTTGATATAAGAAGGTCTTGATTTTGGTCTTTAACATAGTTAAAGAAAGGGGTCCACGTTTCTTAGAAGGTATCTCTATTTGATATGCCTTTGATTGCCCTCCTGTGTCTGGTGAGACACTCAGACATTGCTATATCCCAGATATCATTTCCCCATATGTTCAGGGGTATTTCAGTCTGGTTCTTCCATTGCTGAGCTACTGCTAATCATGCTGCAATCAGTAAGAAGCCTACTAGTTTGCTATGGTGAAGGGTGGAGCCTAAGTCTACATCCAAAAATAGTAGGGCTAAGGCGGGATTTGGAGAAAGGGGTTGGCAGGTAATTGTGGATATAATGCAGAATACTCTATTCCAAAAGTTCCCCACCCAACTTGAATAAACTGTGGCTATTGTTAGGGGACTGGGAGTCAGAAACTTATTATTATTATTATTATCATCATCATCATCATCATCATCATCACTACTACTACCACTACTCATAGTTTTAAAACTGATTTTTAAAGCAACAAATCAGTGTTGTTGTTGTTGTTTAGTCGTTTAGTCGTGTCCGACTCTTCGTGACCCAATGGACCAGAGCACGCCAGGCATTTCTGTCTTCCACTGCCTCCTGCAGTTTGGTCAAACTCATGCTGGTAGCTTCAAGAACACTATCCAACTATCTCGTCCTCTGTCGTCCCCTTCTCCTTGTGCCCTCCATCTTTCCCAACATCAGGGTCTTTTCCAGGGAGTCTTCTCTTCTCATGAGGTGGCCAAAGTATTGCAGCCTCAGCTTCACGATCTGTCCTTCCAGTGAAGACTCAGGGCTGATTTCCTTCAGTAGAACAGCCAAAATAACTCTGAATAAATGACATGGACTGGCTGGAAGCAGAGGGAGGTACCAGCTGGGGAACCCCTAAGGGAAGAAGGTTCAGTGCCAGGGGATGGGACAATGATGAGTGGTCAGAGGTAGAAGAGGGAGAAGACTGGGATGAGGAGGTATCAGAAGCTGGAGAAGTAGCAGATCCTGATTAGCTTCTGCCCAACCCTGAACTACAAAATCAAAGTGTACAATTGCCTGTTTGTTGTTTGGACCTTGCACATGGGGCTCTATGTAAATATACCCTTATGGGCAGCAGGAGCAGCCCTAACAGGAGGCAGAGTGAGGCAGCTACTGCAGATTCCAGTGGGGAGGCAGGAGCTGGTAGATGCTGGTGGTAGATGCTATTGAGGGGTGGAGCTGGAGAGACGGCAGTGTGTTGGGAGGACAGAGCACTGTGTGTCATGTGACTTGCCATGTGCTCCTCTAAGCTGGTCTGCTGACCTCAGCTGCAGTGGAGAATGCAATCCAACTGCCAGTGCCAAAGTAAGATTTAGCTGCCAGTCTGGCTAGCATGGTGTAGTGGTTAGAGTGTTGGACTAGGACCTGTGAAACCAGGGTTCAAATCCACACCCATCCGTAATGCTCACTGGGTGACCTTGAGTTAGTCACAGTTTCTCAGCTTAAGCTGCCTCAAAGGGTGATTGTGAGGATAAATGGGAGGGGCAGAACTATGTACACCCCCTTGAACTTCTTGCAGGAAAGCTGGTATATAAATGTGATGACTGAATGAAGTAGCTAACTAATTTGGAGGGGGAGACTTTCTTGTTCTTCCCCTCAGGCAGCAAAATGTTTGAGCCAGCATGCCCTATGGAAATGTGGAACGAAATGCACAAAAGGGAGGTGGAGTTGGTGCGCCATGAGGTGGGGCAGGCTGGCACTATCCCACTCCTCTGCTGCACATATGTTCCAGACATGAGCAGAGGGCTATTTTCTACATCAGTGACAGACTGCATTTGGGGTGGTGAGACAACCCTGGGAAGAAAATATGACAGGAAAGAGGGTAATGCCTTCAGTATGGAGTAGTCTAAGGATTAAAAGTGACCAGGAAATAAATAGCAATAGACTAGTTCACATTTTCTCTGGCCATAGTCCACATGACAATGCATCTTTCTTGAAAGAGAAATTGCATCTAGTCATTCATTCCCCTCCCCTCCTCATCCAGAAAAAATAAATGAATGGGTCACTGAAGGTGATTCAAGGTCAAAATCAATTTATCTACATAACTGTCTGGCATCAGAATGACACATTTTATCAGCCCGCTTTCTTAATGATGCGACATGATGAATTTGGCTATTTCCCCTTGAACATTTGACTTGTTTTTCTTCTCCCATGTAGCAAGAGGCAGAAGCTGATCTATTTTTTGTTTTTTGATTTTGTTTTTTAAGGCTTAAATATAACATTGGTATTTAGAGAATTTGAAAAGCAAGCACATAAGGATTTCATCACCTACAGAGACAAAAGGCGGGATGTTCTAGGCTAAAGAAAATATGCATCCAGCTGAATTTTAATTCATTCCTTGGGAAAGACGTGCTGAAGAAGGTCAGGAATGCAAAACCTCCATACTTCTCTCAAACCTAGAAATGTGCACAAACCCTACAGTTTCAATAGCACATAAGGTTGAAAGTTGCAACACACATGGAAGCCACCCACAATTTCTCTTCCCAATCCTCCTCCCCAAGACACAAAAATGCAAATTATTAAGTAAAAAAATAGATATTATAGAATGATACGCGCTCTATCCACCATTGTTCTCTCTTAAAAAACATTATAAAAAACACAAAGCTCCTCAGACCAGCAACCCCCACCCTTCTCCTGGATAGCAACAAAAATGTGCTTTAAGGTGTAGCTTTCAAGGCCAATACTGAGAATGCTTGTCAGCTTTCAGATAGGGTAGGATAATTGCGTGTCAAGACCCCGCAGCCACCCCCTCCCCTCGTTGGAAATAACTCACACAAGGACATGGATATTAGGTTTATGTTATTGGACAAATTTTGGCCACAACTTTATTGAAATTACAGAATGTGAGTGGTATTGGCTTAGGCATTGATTGGACCTGACTATATCTGACTCCTGCCCATTGTGCAGGAAGTCCAGTAAGGGTAAGCCACCGGTAGGGGGAGCCCTGTCAATGCGAACCAACTCAAGCTCTCCCTGGTGTTCCCGTCAGGGTCGTGTCAAGGCCTTAGCCCCCCAGCCGAGCTTCAGACTAGATCAACACCCCCAGGTTCCTTTAATGGAATACCCTTAAGCATGGAGGTGCAGGTGATGGCCACACCTCCCCTCCCCCCCCCAAGGTCAAACAATGCCTAACTGCAACCCTAACAAAGTTGTGACGATTGCTACGAGGTAGGCGAAAACCAAGTGGCCAGTGCCAATTTGCCAAGTGGAAAAATTCCTACCAGGCCCCTCGGACAACCAAGGCAACCAACCGAAGTCCATTTGCAGGCCTAACCTGCAAAATAGGGAGGGAGGGCGGGTGATTGAGGAAGCGAGCCAAAGAGGAAGTCCTCTGGCTCGCTCCTCCATTTAAACAGCCCCGGCCATGCTCCCCCGGCCAACAGGTTGGCTGGCCGGGCTCTGACGTGGCCGGGATCCCCCTGGCAATGGGGGATGAAGTCCCCCGCCCCCAGTGGGGAGTGGGTGGCCACACGATCCACCGCAACTCCTCCCACTGGGAAGTGGAGTGGATTTTCCAACAGTGCCTAGAAAAGAGGTAGTCCCTGCACAATTCAAATTCTCACATGTTTTTCTCCCCAGAGACTGCTGCAGAGACCTGATTGTCCATAGAACAGTACAGTGGTACCTCGGGTAACAGACGCTTCAGGTTACAGACTCTGCTAACCCAGAAATAGTACCTCAGGTTAAGAACTTTGCTTCAGGATGAGAACAGAAATTGCGCGGCGGCGGCACAGTGGCAGCAGCAGGCCCCATTAGCTAAAGTGGTGCTTCAGGTTAAGAAAAGTTTCAGGTTAAGAACAGACCTCCAGAATGAATTAAGTTCTTAACCCGAGGTACCACTGTAGCAGCTTGACAGAAATGTTTGGAGAGCTTTTCTGAGATCAAATTTAAAATGCTTAAAATGTGTGTGGGACTTCAAAGATTATGTTGCCATGAAGTTTGGGGGATTTTATTTCTTTGGTTGACACTGTCCTTGGGATTTGTAGCCCTAATGAACCAGCCTCCACTATGTGCCTATGTGTCCTTCTTCATCTGATTAAAAAATAGTTGCAAACATTTGCGGTTTTTTAACTGCATTGAAAAGGGCTCTGGGAATGGGGAGGAAGATGAGCTGGCAATGTCACAGGTTCTACCTAATGAGCACCCTTCGCAATCCACTTTTCCCTGGTTGGAACGATGCCGTATTGAAACCCGGTAGAACCAGTTTTGGAGTGTTCCAGCACAGACAAGAGATTAATGTAATCAGGGTGGTTTCATGATACATCCTCTTCTCTTAAAAGCGTGTGTGTGTGTGTGTGTGTGTGTGCCCTCAACTTAAAGCACTGTACAAATTAATAGTCCCTGCAAATGCACTTACTCTTTTCCAGTTGTTGTTTTTCCTGGGGGTACACAGGGGTATGCACACTCCTAAACATTTTGTGAATCTAAGTTTGGCCTCATTGAGGGGCAGTATTTCAATATGAGTAGGAAAATGAGAATACCCCCTAAACGTTTTTTTAATAGAAAAAAAGCCCTGCTCTTTTTACTTTTATAGCTTGCCTTGCTTCCAATAGTAAGAGCTAAGGTATTAAACAGGTACGCTCAGAAGCCAAACAAACCCAACTCCATGATTCACAAAGCAGTTATAGCTACAAAGTATGCAAGCATCAGCGGCCAGATATATTCAGTTTGAGGACTAGAGAGGTGATTTTGTATCGTAAACTTCCCTGTGGATCTTTGGATGAAGGGTGGCATAGAAATTTAATAA